GGGGGGGTTGTGTTGAGTACACAAGGGAGCCCCTTACTGACAAATCTACTGAGACGTTAAATACTAAACAGCATCCACAGCATAAGAATAAGGACCCTATAAAGTTGAAGATGGAGCACGCCCCGGCCAATTCAATCAGTTATAGATTTGTAGATAGACACTTAGCAATTGACATAGACTCATATACAGTCAAAATTGTCCAAGACGGCTTTTTGCAGAGAAAATCGGTTGTCTTAGGCAGGTGGAAGTCTTTAACAATGTCATAATAACGAAAAAAAAAAAGTAAGGGGGGAGATGGGACGTGGTCATTTGTTCAGGTGATCGTCTAGGACAGCTGGCCGTTACAGCAGGTTCCACAGTATAACATACATGTTTCCAAAGATGTCACTTTCTTTCTTGAATTAAGATGACTAAGACAACCAAGACAAGAGGCATGCTGGAGAGAAAAGACAGCAAGATTTTCACAACTCTCTGGAAAGACAACAAAAAGATCTCTACTAAATCTGGGTTACTCAAAAGAAGAGAGAGAGAGAGAGAGAGAGAGAGAGAGAGACAGAGAGATTAACTTTTACACAAGAGCCCGAAAAAACCCCAGCATGGAGCATCCAATAATTTACCCACCACTCTGGCAATACCCCCCCCCCCCCCCCCCAGCGCTATTTTTACATGTGTGCATCATGTGGATTAGACAGAGAGGAGACTGTAGTATGAACAGACAGAGCACTACACAGAAGAGTTTGAGTTACATGTTACATGTGTTGGTTATGATCAGGACTTGGTACAACACTAGTATTTAGGACACTATGACATATTGTAACTTGGTGTACACAAAGTTCATGTCCTATTTGCGTGCAAAAGTTTGCAGATACTGTTTATTGCAGGGGAAAAAAAATAAAAATTCAACAAATTCACTTAAAAGTAGAAATTTCTTAAATTATAGTTAGAATCTGAAAAAAAAACCAACACATTTTTTTCTAAATTAAAGCAGGAAAAAAAAATTCTGCGTTAAACTGCATTTCAATCTTTACACATTGATCAATATGTAGTGGTTGAGAGTCCCCTCTCTCTTCTTTAAAAAAAGTTAATGTTGTTATCTTAATAGTAATAGTTTTAATAGAAGTTCATTTTACATGATGTATTCTCACAGCTAACCACTTCTCCAGCAGAACCAGCCTAGCCTATCCCAACGACAGACAGGCGGAGCTATGTGGAATACAAAAGAAGGAGATCACCGCTACAGTGCAACAACAAACAAACAGGGATGCAGGCAGCTAAGTCAACAGCTGTGTTAGTAACAAGTAACATAACAGTAACAGTAGCAGCAAAGAACGTGTGCTTCTGGGACCAGACTCGCAGGCTCTCTATTATACCGACGACCCACAAGGCAAAAGGCTGACTCAGCAGACATTTTAACTTTCATAGTCGTTACTTTTTCAACTGCCAAAGACTGTGTGTTTGTGCAACTTAATAATAATTATAACAATTGCATAATTACATAGCCCATATTCACTCTCAACAGCATGCTCAATACCCTTTACAACTATTATTACAGCCTATTATTACAAGTACCAGTGACATGATTGATACACTGTCACATCCCTTTTATATCCTGCGATCCCCTATCATTGGAGATTTAAGGAAAGTTACAATTTTATTGAAGAAACATACTGTTAAAAATAAAAACAACTAAAAAGAATGAACAAACCCCCCCCCCTCCATAAAAAAAAGTCAAAACCATCATACCCCCTTCCCTCCCCCCACAAAAAACATAAAAAATACCCAACTTTAACAAAAAGAACTTATAGAGAAGGAAAAAAACCCCATTGTCTCTGACAGGTAAAGGCCTACTGCCGTAAGCCGACAAAATGCTAAAAAAAAAAATTTGGCGCCAATATTTTTTATTTGCTAAATTAAAAGCCTGATCAGTAACCCTACTTGTGTGAAAAAATCAAATTGAAACTTTTTGAATAAATTACTATTCAAATTTCAAAAGGACTATTTTTAAATGATTACGCAGACATAAAAAAACAACCTTTTTGTCGAAACTACTCTGAAGAAAAAACAGCGTTTTGTCAGCTTACGCTAGTATAGCATAACAAGCCTGCTGTCCCAGAACAGGAAATGGTCTTTGCTGGCCAGTGGTCAGTAGTGACAGAGAAACAATGGAGAGAACACGAGAGGAAAAGCGGCAAAACGTGATCAAACCTGGACTGTGTGCGCGACAGGGACGTGATTCTGGCACTGCAAGTTGACAAGTCACACAGGGGTGTAAGCGGGTGGAGCAGGAGGAGGAGGAGAAGGATGGAAGAAAGGAGGAGGAGCAGGAGGAGGAAGAAGAGGAGGAGAAGGATGGAAGAAAGAAGAAGAAGAAAGAGAGGAGGAAGACAAAGAACAGAACTGGTTATCATTCTCACAAGTTCAAACCACCACTGACAAAAGTTTACAAAATATAACCTCCTCCAAATGAGCACACAATGTGTACTACCCAATGTCTCCCAGGAAAAGTTACATGTTTCACTTCACAGATTCTACATCGTGAAATATATTATATGTATTTTTTGTTTAAAACAAGATGTATTTATTTTTCTAGAGACAGTGACTCTAAAAACAATCATGGCTCTTAGTGCTTTGAGCAGACAAGTGTTTTTCCTGTTTGCTTCACATGGATTAGTAAGCACAGGCAGCTCACAAAAACATGCTGGACAGTGGAGACCTACACACAGATCACATGTTTGTTATTCAGCACACCACTGGTCTAGATGAATACCTTGATGTAGGAGAAACCCCTAAAAACGCTGCCTTTATAAACTACCTTTTTATATCATACCTAAACCTAACTTCTTGTGGTATGAAATTGCGATATTATACCACACAAGTGTATCAATAATAAAGCTCCCTCATATCTTAATGATCTCGTCCTGACCTATGTTCTATCTAGATCAATTAGACCAGGATATAAGCATCTTTTACTTTTTTAGAGTTCCAAAGAAAGGAAGTAATAAACTAGCTGAAGTATCAATAGTCCATCCTGCTCCATCAGTTTGGAACTCTCTTCCTCAACACCTAAGAGACACAACTTTTGAGTCTAAATTATATAAAACATATTCCTATCACAACATCAGTCCACACCACGTCATCCTACTATCAGCCTCGCAGCCTAAATAATATCATAGAACAGGCAAGAGAAATTGACTGCTGAAAAACAACATTTCGCTCTTGCACGAGTTCTTTTCAGACTTATACATACCAGAATTAGCCCTCATTAGTCCCAACCCAAACCAGAACCAAACTTTAGACTTGACAAACACCACCATCACCACCAGTTAACTAGACCATATCCCTCATGAATTAGAAGAAAAAATAAATTCTGTAGAGAAGGAACCATACGTGACACCAAACTACACATAACAGAAGATCCAAAATCATTTAACAGCGTCATGGTTCCTAGCGCACTTCCTAGGATCCAAAAACCCTCTAATGTTACACCTACAACAAATCTTTTCATAAACGGAAAGTATTTAGTGGAAGAACATTTTGTTCCAAAGCAGAGGAAATGAAAGCACATTGAACACTAGCCATTGACACAAACTAACAAGCAGTACAGAAGGAGGTTACAGTACACAAACTGGCTTAACTAGTTTGTTTTCAGTGGCAGTTGTCCTTCTTACTTCAGGACAGACCGGCAATTAACATAGTAGTGAGGAACAAACACACTTTCACTGCAGCTCACTCTAGTACTTCTTGGGATTCTGGCGATAACATTTACTCCAGAGTGTTTTCTCTTCGCACACAATGAGCAGGTGGACATGACAAAGCTAACAGTTCAAGGGTGTTGGTTTGAGTCACAGAAAAGCAGCACATGAATATGATAATGGTCATTTTTTTAGTGCTGGGGAAAAGCAAAAAGAAGAAAAGACAAGAACAATAAATGAAATAAATAAATTAATAAATAAATAAAACATCAAGTGATGAGTAAAGCAAAGAAGAAGAAAGAAAATATACCTAGCAGCTGCAACCTCTCAACTCCCGACATATCCTGACAAGAGCCACAGTCAGTTTGTCAACAACATTTCATTAGCGTCATTTTGCAACTTCCATTGGGTTTTTCCCAACAACCGATTCCTGAACTGGGCCTTCTTCAGGATTTCAGCAACTAACACATGTACTCACAGTCGTCGTTTAGGGTGAGCTCAGAGAAGCACATCAATATGATGAGGATGATGAACTAGTGCAGGGGGAAGGAAAAACACACATACAGGCATACAGACAGACAGACAGACAGACAGACAGACAGACAGAAAGACAATAGAAGGAAAGAAAAGAAGAACTACCAGTAGTCAGTGCTTTCAAACCACTGGCTGACTCAAATGAATGACCCTCACACTTGTGTGACAAGAGTCACAGCGACAGGATAAAAACATCCACACTCACCAAAGTGACTTTTCACCCTCAAACCTTTCTGACAAGAGTCATTGTGATCTGTGACTGAAAAAAGACAAACTGACATGGTTTCTTCCATCATTCCACCGCATTAGCTTCACATGGGTACATACCTGGAGTGTGTGCGTGATAGGGAGGTGGTGGTGACTTTACGACCCTCAGCAGAGGAAGAGGCGTCCGAGTTGGTGGGTGACGGGGCTGGCGACGGGGACGATGCTTGACTTTTGTTGCTGCTGTTGCTGTTGCTGTTGGTGTTGAGGAAAAATGGCTGAGCTTTGCCGTCTTTGACAAAGCCCTGGGCCGAGCCGTTGACCAACATACCCAGCTCCGCTAGCTCCGTGGCGGTCATCTGTTGCTTCCACTGGACACGCGGGTAGCCCACTAGATTGTCCGGGTCCACCTCCAGGCCGGAGAGCTGACTGGCCGCCAGTTTGGACAGGAGAACTGCGGAGGCAGCTGTCGGGTTGGACAAAGACGGGATCTGAACGTTGAGCAAGGATGTCTTGGAGAGGTCTGTGGCAGCCGCTGCTAACAAGTCCTGGGAACTGTGGTCTCCCCCCTCTGTGAGCGAGCGAACTTCGTGGCTGTTGCTGCGAGAAAGGGAGCTCTTGCTGCTTTTCTTCTTCCCACCGCTGCTCGACTTCTGACTCAAGTCTGTGGCCTGGCCGGGTGCTGCAGTGGAGGAGGAAGAGGGAGCAGAGCTAAGCAAGTTCATCTCCCGCATGTAGGTCTCATAGTTGGAAGGCGGCGGGCTGCTCACAGAGGGTTTGGCACCTCCCTGTCTCACTCCTCCGCTGTCCGTTGTACTCAAGTCTATAGCCATGTTGGCGGTGCTGCTGTTGTTGTTGTTGTTGATGCTCCCACCATTACTACTGCTGCTGCTGGCGTTCAAAATCTGACCACCACTCATACTGCCAAACAGCATGGGGAGAGCCGCCTGGTCGTAGCCAGGGATGGCCTTGTCCATGTACTTGAGGCCACTCGGGGTCACCACCAGCGACCCCATTCCTCCGCGAGAGGTCACGGCCGCCGCCAGCTGTTTCCGGGCCAGTTCTGAGAGGGGAGTGGCCGGGGCGAGGCCAATGGCCCCAATACTGGCCAGCTGATTGAGCTGAGACAGAGTGTTGGAGGCAAAGTGGGCCGGGTGGATCTGGACAAACTTGTCTGAGGGGTGGGGGGGGGGGGGGGGGGGAAGAAATTGGAGAAAAATTTTCGTTCTTTTTTGTGGTGGGGGGGGGGGGGGGGGGGTAGGAGGAAGGAAGAAAAGGTGGAAACGGAAAAAAAGTACCGTTCCTCAACTGAACTGAAGTTTCGCTTCCGATTACATTGATATTGGACATTCTCCTTTCTTCCAATTGCTCCGAAATAGCTGAAGAATCCCTGGAGAAAGTATTAGCAAAGGTAGTTAGCCTAACGGGATTTCACAGAGCTCTTCTTGACCAAAACCACCACAGCCATCACCTCTTCCATCTCGAAACCATCCACAGAAAGACGGAAACCTCTTGACACATGATGCAAAAAAAGCACAAAAGAGAAAAGAGGGGAGGAAAGGGGAAAAGAGCAAAAAAAGAGGAAAAGAAAGAGAAGAATAGATGAGAGAGGGAAAAAGAAAAAGGAAAAAGATAAAAAAGAAAAAGTTTTCCAGATTGAGTAAAGAGAAGCACACCCACACAACAATGGTCGTAAAGAGCAGGGTAGAAGTGAGACAGATAGGAACTTAGGGAAACAGCAGAGGGGAAAGAAAAAAGGAAGACCAACCAGTGGCGCCTCCAACCAGCCATGAAAGAGAAAGAAAAGAGACAGAGAAGAAAAGAGAAAGAAAGACATGAAAAGGAAAAGAGAAAGAAAGAGAGAAGGGAATGAAAGAGAAAGATAAGAGCGGGAAAAAGAAAGAAAAAGAGAATAAAGAAAGTTTTTTTTTTTTAAAGAGAGACAAAAGCAGGAAAAAGAAAGAGAATATAGAAAAAGAACAGAAAAAAGAAAAGAGAGAATAAAGAAAAAGAAAAGAAAGAAAGAGAAATACTTACTTTTATTACTCGACTCTGCAGTGTGGGCAGGAGACGAGGAGCTTGATTCATCAGCTTGATCAGTGTCCATCTTGACCACACCGACATCCCCACCAGGCGTCGGCGTCTCAGATGTCGGGGAGGTGCCTGTCTCTTCTTCACAGTGGTTGATTCTCTGGGGCTTCAGCGCCTTGCGTCTGCTTTTGGTAGGGGGAGCTGAAATAGTTGTTACATTGTCCAATTAGATTAGAAACATTTTAAAGTGGCTTGAAAAGGAACTTTTTTTTTTTTTAGTTTGCACAGACTGGGACATTTTGAGTTGGAACATTTTGAGTTTCAATTGGAACATGAATTTTGAGTTTAAAATTGAGAACATTTTTAGTCTGAATTAAAACATTTGTAGTATGTTCGAACTGGAACATTTTTGAGTTTGTCAGAACCGGGACATTTTGAGTTTATCTAGATCAGAATGTTCTGGGTTTGTGTGAAATGAAATATTTTGAGTTTTGAGTTTGAATTGAATTGAAATATCCAGTTGAGGGGGGGGTTCTGAGCTTTCAAATGTCAAAGGAAAAAACACGATACACTAGAACCTGTACTGTTACTTTTTTTTTGCTGAGTTAATAGAACTGACATACCTGAGCCTGTGATCGGGACAGGTGACCTTCGCTTGACCCCTGCACTGACTGCTGTTTCACTGCCAGTGTCCTTCCCTTCAGCACCCCCCTCAGATTTTGCCTTCCCAGCTTCGCATCTCACCACGTTCCCACCATCACCACCACCACCACCAACAACGGCAGCAGCAGCAGCAGCTACAGCGACAACACCCTCCGACTTGCGAAGTGAGGAAGAAGTGGTAGAGAAATCCACGGCTGTCTCCGTCTCCTCCTCCACCTGGCCTGCTCCAGCCCGGGCATCCCCGTCATCCCCAGAGCCGCTGTCCGATGGTGGGGCATCCGGCATCACCACGGTCACGTCCCCCATCCCCTCCTGGGCAAGTTTCTCCTTGAGCTTCTCCTGCTCCAGCTGCCTCCTCCTCTTCTCCTCCTCCAGCAGTCTTGCTGCCGCCTCCTGCTCTTCCCTCCTCTTCTTCTCACTCAGTTTCTCAAACATCTTCCTCTGACGCTGTTCTTCCTCTGATGCGGCTTTCAGCAGAGCCAGGCGCATCTTCTCGTTCTCCTGGGTTACCACAAGGAAACACACATTTTTGTTTGTTTGTTCAAGTAAAGAAAAACACATCGACACAATAATGGTTATTTAATGCAGGGAAAAGCAAGACAGGCAGAAACAACCAAAAAAAAAAGGAAATTTTATTTATCCCCCTAGAGAAATTTGTACAAAGATGGCACATGTGAGAAAAATACAGTGGCACACAATAACACAATGCATATATATATATATATATATATATATATATATATATATTGGCACAATAAAGAGTATTTGTGACCCTACCCGTTTCCACTTGTTTCACCATTAGAAGATGCTTCACTCATTTCCCACCACCAGCTGCAGTTTGCAGCTTGTGTAACCCATGCTCTATGGCCATAAGCCATATTTTGCAGCTCAACAAATTCTTAATATCTTTGCTTCCACAGACTTCCCACACTCACATACAATTATTATATGCTCAGGTTTCTTTTTGTTCTTTAAACTGTCTGATATAAAATATTCATTTCATTGCATGTTGATATAGGATGGAGTCTTCTTAAACTGAAATCTCTGGGACCATTAGATTTTCTTCGGTTCAGCCTGGTTTTTAGTCAAGAGAGGCTGCTGAAGTAGAGATGAAAAAAATTTGGGTATTCTATTTCCTTTCCATAGATCACTTTTTTCAGATAAACTGTGTTTGGTTTAAGCAGCCTCCACCGTATATCACACTTGAGTTTCTCTTTACAAAATTTTAAAAATCAATTTTCTGGATACAGTCAGCAAAAATAAAATGGCAGACAAAATGGTTGGGTGACAGAGAGGAAAAAAGTCTAACAATGAGTGAGTAAGAACAAGAATGAGGAAACAAGTCTAACAGTGAGTGAGTAAACACAAGAACTGAGCACTCCCTGTGGACTGTACCAGGACTAACTCACCTGCAATATCCTGGAAGTGACCGCCTCCAGCTGTTTCTGTCCCAGAGTGGGGAACGTTTTCTTCAGCTGCTCAAAGTCAAGTCCCGTGCCGGCCGTCCGTTTGTCTGTCTGAGCCTCCATGGCTTTCATGAGCAGAGCCTTCTTCTGGAACTCTTGAAGAACAGCTTGCCGGGCCTGGACAAAAACACACACACTCTGTGTTAACACATCTGGACATGATATAAATACACGTGACCGTGTTAACACATCTGGAAAAAATGTAAACTCACACAACTGTTAATGCACATGTGCAAAAACATTAACATATCCGGACCAAAAAAGTAAACACACAAACACACACACACACAATTGTGTTAACACACCTGGACAAAAAAACACACATATAAAACTAGTCAAAGAGAGCAACTAAATCAACATACCCAAACAAGCACTTTGTTCACACTCACACACACACACACACAAACACACACACAAACAAACACATACAGACACACACACAAAACTGCATTCACACACACACACACACACACAATATTAACTGAGCAACCTTCACAGTACTTAACAATCCCCACTGCATCTAGCAACCCGAGGCACTACACAACCTTCCACCATATTCAACAACTCACAAGCATCTCCCTCTCTGCATCCCCGACCTCGGCAGCCATCCGCACAGCCACCTCCTCCCCGTGTCGCAGGTCGATAGCCTTCATGTCCACCATGGGAGGGTACAGCCCCAGACGCTGGCTCGTGCTCGCGGGGAGACCAGACTTGGCGGCAGCCACGGCTGCTGCTGTAGCAGACGTCAGGTTGTTGTTGTCGTTGCCACTGCTGTTGTTGTTGTTGGAGTCGCTGTTGGCGACCACTAGTTTGCTGCTCTGAGCAGCGGCGGCCACTGCCGCTGCGGCTGCTGCAGCCGACTGGTCGTAGACACTGGCGGACAGGCTGTTCAGCAGGTTAGAATACTTCATCTGCTCATCCGAGACTTTGGGGGTCCCGTGACATGCCTGAAACACACCACAAAGTTATGTACAATTCCGCATGAGTTACAATAGTGTGGAATCGCACGCACACATCCCAATTTTCATGCATACGGAGCTATTGAGCTATTCGTATAAATTGGAACTCCTGTTTACCTGCTCTATTTTTGATGAAAAAAAAATACCCAACCTTTGATGGAAAAGAAATACCCATCTATCATGAACAGAAGTTGAGATATTTGCCATTGAATGAGGTGGGGGGGGGGGGGGGGGGGAAAGGGGTCGCCTGTGTCAGAGGTAAAACTAGCAATTTGCGAGAGAATGGCTGCACAATTGTGACTTTCAAAGTTGTAGTGTCCTTGGAAACTGAAATTCTCCATTTTCTGTGCCTTTGATCAATGTTTTTCAAATAACATCCTTGCAGGAATGTCTCTTTAAAAGACAAAAGTTGCCAGGGTCCAAAACAAAAATTTTGAAGAAATTTGCCTTAAGGGTAGAAAAAAGTTTTGTTTATTTTCCAACTTCATTATTTTGTAAAGAGCCTGATGTCACCACAATGTCAGAAATATAATTATTACATGACACAATCACAGGACTTATTTTATCAAATGAAGTACAGCAAATAAAGTAGACATTTATGAGCCATAGCCATAAAGTGGGGGGGCCTCGTGAGGGACGTGGAGGCTAAAAATAATTTTGATCAATTTCATTTAATATAATTTGTCCACATATGCACATTTAATCTGTGCGTTAAGCATTAAACGCAAAATTATCCAAGATGGGTACCAATTGTTGAGGAGAACGGTTGTTTTAGACAGGTGGATGTCTTTGACAGAGTCGTTATGATATATAAAAAAAACCCACAATAAGTCTTCGTTTGGACAGATGACTGTCTCGAACAGGTGGCCGTTAGAGCAGGTTTGACTCGACTGTATATGAAAATGAAGACAAAAGAATAAGTACATGAAGATGGGTCTGAAATTCTTTTAAAAAAAGAAAGAAAGAAAGCAAGTGTAAGCATTAAAAAAGGGCGTTTTTGCCGAGGGTATAATACCATTCGATACTTCCTAGATTGGCGCAGAAAGGGTTGTTTGTACATGAACAACCTTAATCGTGCCAGAAAAAAGGCCGAAAACAAGCGTGGAGAGAGGTAGGTAAACGTACCCTCCTGTGCTCCATGAGATCTGTCTCCCCACTGAAGCCACTCTCACAGTCAGGACACCAGAAGGAGTTCTGGTTCTGATGGATGCGCATGTGGCGCTGGAGGAGGTACTCCCGGCTGAAACTCTTACGGCACTGAGAAGGAGGAAGTTTCTTTATTTCTATTTGTTTGTTTGATCGTTTGCTTGAGTACAAAGAAGCACATCGACACAATAACGGTCATTTGGTGCAGGCTGAAACTCTTACGGCACTGAGAAGGGGGAAGTTTCTTTATTTCTATTTGTGAGCTATCGTGGTGAAATCAGGCGCTCGTCAAAAGAATTAAATCTGAAAAATCTGCATATTTTTTCGGCCAGTTTAGACATTTTTTCAAATTTTTATTTTTTGGCTCAACACCTTGTATGTCAAGTCAAACACACTTTTACGTATGGACTTTGTGGAAAAACGTTCAGTAAAGGCACAAAAAATGTAAATTTGCAGTTTCCAAGGACTCTTAAGCTGTGGAAGTCACCAAACTTTGGCGACCATTTTCTCGATAATGTTACCTCTGCAACCAGTCAACCCTGACCTCCTTCAATCACAAATATTTCGACTTCTATTCAACATAGAAGGATATTTTTTCCACCAAAAGGAAAGCAAATAAACAGTCTCTAAGATGCTACAGATAACTCCATATGCCCAAAAACTGACGAGCGCCTTATTCCACTGCGTCGAGACACATCTGCGCGTTAGTTTGCGTGAGTAAAAGGAAGCACATTGACACAATAACCATCATATATGCAGGCTGAAATTCTTACGGCACTGAGATATAGGAAGTTTCTTTATTTCAATTCATTTGTTTGTTCGTTTGCTTGAGTAAAAAGAAGCACATTGACACAATAACCATCTTTTGGTGCAGGCTGAAACTCTTATGGCACTGAGATATATAGGAAGTTTCTTTAAATTTGTTTGTTTGTTCATTTGCACTAACGGTAATTCGGTGCAGGGGAAAAATTAAGACAAGATGGTCAGAAAAAACGAAGGTAGTAAAAGAAGTGAGACTGACCAGTAGCACCCTCCAACCACCCGTTTGAGGAGAAGAAACAATTGTCGACATTTTACGCCCTCACTGACGTCAAGGTTAGATCGTTTGTGGAGCCGGTTGACTTAATCCTCCAACCCAGGATTAGTAGCATACAACATACAAGAAAACGGAGGTACTTGTAATGATATATTTAACTGTAGTTGTTTTTATGCCCCCATCAACACACTTTAGACCATCTGGGAGGAGGGCGGCTTCGACCCTACTTGTCAGGGACAGATTGTGCTAAGAGAAATGCAACTTCCCAGCAGTCAGTGAAGATACTTGAAGAAGATTCTCCCTGCATTGAAATAAAACTTGTGTGGTCTTCTGGGTGCTACGGCAAAATGCCTAATCACTACCCCACAAACGTCGGTACCGAGACACTTGATAAGAAACACTTTCTCAGATGGAAAAGAAACCCATGTCTGTTGCACACAAAGCAACGAGCTTAACACTTTGCCCCCACGGGACGTCCATCGGCGACGGTGTGATAAAGCGTGTGCTGCGTCTGTATCCTGGTTCGTGGGCATAAGTGTTGCGCACTCTGCGCGCTGTGCGGGTGAAAACTGCTAACCAACAATTGTACAGAACACTCTAATGTTGAGGAAAAGGGGGATGCTTAACACTTGTTTGCGATGAAAAAAAGAAAATTGAAACACTCATAGACGTTCAGCCCTAGAAAAAACTAAGAAAGCTCATAAACACTAGATGAAGAAATGAAAAAACAAACAATTTAAGCTTCAAAAGCTTTTCCTGAAAAATTGAAGACTCCATCTCAAAAACAATCTGAATGGGAGGAACGACCCTCAGTTTGGCCGATTTTGGGTCAAGCTGTGCAAATTCAGATGTTGGCTGATTTTTGAAGATCAACCAGTTCTTTGTCTAAAAATAACAAGGAGACAATTGAGTCTATTGTCGTCGGAAATCGCCTTTGAATGTTCACAATAATTGTCATTTTTCTCAAAATGTCATTTTTTGGCAGTTTTCCCCCTACTCCTTCCTTAGTTTTCATCCTTTTGACATGAAACTTTCAGGAAACATAGATGCCAAGGCTGCCTTCAATGTAACAGAGAGATATTTTTTTTCTAAAAAAAAACAAAACTTCTTTATTGGCAAGCGACTACGCAACCTCTCGTTAAAAGTGTTGAAAAGGGAGGAGTTGGAACTCAACAATTACAAATAGCACCGTTGTGGGTATTTGAGCATTCTAGTGAGGAATAGGGTCACAAAAACATGCGACTACTACACACATCAGCACCTCTCTCACCTTGGTACAAGAGTAGCCACCATTGGCTCTCTCCCCTGGCTCCGGGAAGCGTCCAGTGATGGGTGTGTTAGTCAGCGAGTTATCAGCCAGGTAACCGGGGGACAGAAAACTGCTGTTGCTGCCACTCGAAGCTGGTGTCACGTTGTCTGATGATTGATCCTTTTGTTTCTGAACACACCGTGGGGGAAAGAGAAAGAGAGAGAGGAAAAGGCACTGTTTATCCTGTGCACAACTCTACAGGAAGATTACGTGAAACTCTAAAAAAATATTGTTATTTGTATAATCTTAAAGTCTGTTCATTTGCCTTGCTTTTGATCTTAAAACATACCCATGGATCTTGAATGGAACGCTTGAAAACTAAATGACGTTAAAAACTTCTGTTAACATTGAAACACTAGCCCTAACACCAACCCCAATCTTTATCTGAACCTAATCCTGATACTCAATCTGACCCTTGCTCTGTAACTTAAAAATAAGCACCGCCCGGATCTATAAGACTTCCATTATGCAGGCTAAGGTTAACCCAAGTAGAAAATGTTGGTATCGATACATCTAAATTTCTGCCATTACTGGCCCCCCCACATTGTCAGCACAGTGGCATCACGTTTGTTCCTCAGCTGTGCTCCCGACAACTCACCTTCTGAATATCCTCCAATGGTAGAGAGACATTGCTGAGCCCTGAGAACTTATCTTTATGACACTGTCGAGTAAAAAAAACAATCCATCGTGGATGAGAATGACTGCCAATACCACATCTTCATATAAATGGGAGGGGAAATATTTAAAAAACTATTTATAACAAAGAAGACATCATTATATCAAATCTCATCAGGAAGATTCAGCTCATTTACAAAAAAGGCAAATTCAATAGATGAAGACTTTTTAAGGTTAAAAAAAAAATCCCTTGCAAATATCATAATAACAGTTCGTCCATCATTGTCTGACAATGACCAATGCAAATACAGAGAAGTTGAGCAAAATGGAAGAAATAAAGGTTACAACGTCCACCTTTCTCAGACAACCACTTTTCTCCTCCACAAGGGGTGGCGGTCTTGGGCAATATTGACTCTATATATATAATTAATATATAATTATGTGAGGCATCGTGGTGAAATCATGCGCTCGCTCGTCAAAATAATGTAATAGAAGAAAACGGCATATTTCCGCCGGATCGGTAATTCAAAAAAACAAACTTGGGCTGAATACCTTTCATGTCTATCTAATAACAAATTTCTGTCTTGATTTTATTGGAAAACTTTGATTAAAGGCACAAAATTGTAAATTTTTATTTCCCAATGACTCTCAAGCTTCAGATGCTACAAAACTTTGGAGACCATTTTCTCAATAGATTTACCTCTGAAATCAGGTGACCCCCCCACCTTCTTCAATCAGAAACACCTCGACTTCTATTAAAAAAAGATGTGTATTTTCTTTATTATTGAAAGCAAGACAAAGAAAAAAACTTACAGATGGTATTGTTAACTCAAAATGCCCAAACATTGACGAGCCCCTGATTCCACCACAATGTGACATACACACACACATAAATAAATACATATGTATATATAAATATATATCACATATAATATACCCTGGTGAGAAAGTGTTAGTGTTACCTGTAGGTGTTTTAAGATCTGAGTCTGCAACCTGAAGGAAGCCTCACAGTAGCGACAGTCGAAGGTGTTCACCTCGCTGTCAAAGTGGTTTGGGAGGTGGTGGTACAATCGAACCAAGGAGGTGAACGCTCGTTTGCACAGTTGGCATCTGGGGAGGAGGGCACAGTGTCAGTGCTGAAGGTATAGTTCCAGTCCTCTATCAGTGTCTCTCTGTTTTGTTCCCTTCCTTCCTTCCTCCTTCCCTCCCTCCCAAAAAATAGCGTTAGCAAAGATGGAATTGTTCAAGTATCTATTTCTTCGACTCTCTTTCTCCTTCCCACTTCAACTTTGTCTCTTGCCCTATCTCACTCCCTTCTTCTCTCTCTCTCTCTCCCTCTATCTCTTGTTTCCTCCCTTTCTCTCTCTTCCTTCCACCCTCTTCCTCTTTTCCTCCCTCTATCCCTCTCCCTTTTTCCCTCTCCATCCCTCTGTGTCCTTCTCCTTTCTTCTTTCTGTCTCCCTTAGTCTCTCTCCTAGTCCATATTCCTCCATCTCCCTGTATCTCCACTCCCTCTCTCTGTCTTGCTTCCTCCATCCCTATGTCCTTCTCCCTCTCATTTCCCATCTCCCTCCCACCCTTCCTCACTCCAGTAAAACGTATCATGCATCCTGTAGGGACCTATCTCTGATAAATTTATGTAGTCCCATCAGCCTCAGAAACATACGACACATAATATAAGTACCAAAAAAAAACAAAAACACACAGTCCAAACGGAACAATAATGATAGGCTAGTAATAAATGATAATCATGATAATAAGAATAATAAATGGCATCAAAATGATATAATAATAATAATAATAATAACAAAAATAATAATACACAGTAATAATAACAATAACATAAATAATAATAATAATAATAACAACATTATATTGTAATAATAACAAAAATACAATAATAATAATAATAATAATAATAATAATAATACAATGTAATAATAATAACAACAATAAAAATAATAATTGCATTCATATGGGAAGGAGCTCTGTCCACTCACTGGAACGCTGTGGCCTGTCTGCCCGTCACGTTGTTGATGCCGTCCAGTCTCGAGACCAGGACCGTCTCCTTCAGCACCGTGATACGAGACCGCCGTTGACCACCATCCTCCGCCAGCACAGCTGAAAGATGGGGGGAACAAAAAAATAAGTTTCAAGTCTTAGTTTCACACTTTGTCGTCACATCTTGCCAATCGGCAAGAACCCCGAACTTCCGCTCCCGTCACAAAACACCGATCGGAAATGTTTACCACCCAGTTTCTTTGGATTTCCCCTAAAATGTTTGTAATGGCAGGGGTTTTTACTATATGAGCCTTGTGATGGCAAAACGTTAACCCCTTCATTGCTGAGACGTATTCACCAATATTTGTACTGACAAGATAAAAAGTTAATTTTATAAGAGAGACAAGGCCATAGTACATTTCAACTTCACAGTCCTGGTTACATCTCCTTGTACTTCCCTGTAAACTGGTACAAAAAAACCACTACCCACTCACCTTGCTTCTCTGGCTCCCTGCTGCTTAGTTCCTCTAGACTCAGACTGGAAAGAAAACAGCATTAACAGAAATTAACCTCTGACACATAGTTTGATATTTGTTTGAACACACACAAGCACGCCTACACCCCCCCCCCTCCTCCCTCAAAACTAACCACCAGCTTCAACATCTTTACTAACTCCATTATGTTATTAATGTGGTTGACATACAACTTATTATGTCATTAACGTGGATGACAGACAATTTATTAGCCCATGTTTTACTGCAATACGGACACAATTTGATCGGTAAGAGACAATAAAAAGAGTGAAAAACATTTATAAAATCTTTGGAAATTACAGTAAAAATTTCTCATTTAAGCAATTTATTCAGTAAACTCAAGGATGTTTGTTCCCTCCACAGCATTGAAAAAAAGTTTAATTAAGTAAGCCCCCCACCCTTTCATCCCTTTCTCTATAATCAAGTACCCTGATCTAACAGCGTTATCAGTATGAGTTCATTGTGAAGCCTATCGACATCAGACACAAAAATCTTAAGCACCCTTGCCCCACTTACTCTTGCACCATGCGGGAGGTCACATGATACGGCAAAGCGTTACTCTCATCCAACGCCCCATTCTCCACCGAGCCCAGACCACCATTAACCACGCCACTGCCATTGAGTACCGCCCCGCCCCCTCCAGCGCCAGCTGAACTCTCTGCCACGCCCACACCGGCATTGGCGGTCATCATGTTGGGCCTCTCCATGACTTTACGGGCCAGCAGAGAGCTGATGGTCAAGTCGGCCGCAACCGGGTCTAGCTTGTTGACTCCGTCCGTGGCATACATGGAGTTTGGCAAAACGTCAGACAGTCGCACCAGTGGGTTGCCGTTTGGCTTCGGTTCTGGGGACAATGAAAAGTTGTGTTTGAGATTTCACATATTTCAAAACACATTGTTGGTTGTCCCTTAGCGAGGACAATAGAAAGTTGTGTTTGAGGTTTCACATCTTTCATAACACATTGTTGGTTGTCCCTTAGCGAGGACAATGAAAAGTTGTGTTTGAGATTTTTTAAAATCCTTTCAGACTCAATTTTAGACAATACATTTCTTCTTGAGGTTTTACTTCCTTTTTGACACAACTTTGATACTTTTGTTTAGAGGGAAATGAAAATGTGGGTTTGAAGTTTACACCCTTTCAGACACAATTTGGGTTGCTCACTGAAGATAAAGGAAATTTGTGTTAAAAGCCTCAAAAACCTTTTCGAATCAATTTTGACTGTTCAAAGGAAAAGAGTCAGAGCCTAGTGACCCTGCCACCTGTTCCGAGAGTAGAGGCCCATGATCTGTATTTGTGTAATATTGTGCATTTAAGAATGTTTTTATGGGACAGTGGGCCTATTTATATAACCCTCCAACCCACAGGGGGGAAATGGGTAGCTGTCTATAACAGGTCTGACGGTAGATTCCAACTCACCTATACGAGCATATGAGGTCGTGTTCCGGTTCTGTTTGAGCTTGGGGGGCTGTGGGGCTGGCTGTGACTCAGGGAAGTTGACGATGATGTTGTGGGCCGTGCGGATATGGTTGGCCAGAGACACATCGTGCTTGAATGACTTGTGACAAAACTGAGACAGGGCGCACAGAGAGAATTTAGTTTTCATGTTAGTAAGAGTTTTACAGCACTTGCAAAACAAACAGGTCATATGAGGAGCCGAAGATTAGAAGTGTTATTAGAGAGTAACATACACATAAAAGAATGAACAATAAATATTTGAAAGGAAAAAAGGAGCAAACCACATCAAAGATACTGCCAACCATCCATGCACAGAGAAAGATGTGCATTGCTGAATATTACTTCAACACTAGCCAGGGAATTAATCATGAGACAAAAAAACCAGTAGGTAAATCAAAAGTCAAAAAAAAATTTTTATTAAATGTTTATGTAGACGTTTTCATTCAAATTGACAAAATTTACATAATTTAGGAAACAGGACCACTGTAAGACGAGAGGGACATAATGTCCCAACAAAAGACCTGAGATACTCCATAAACATTCTCCCCACACAGGAATCTAACAGTAAGTAAGCCCCAGCAGTGGCAGCTTGCATCCACTAGCAGTCATTAGTAGAGCAGGAAAAAAGAAGGACGGAAAGGCAGAATCAATAGTGAGCAAGAAATGCAGTTGTAAGACCTACTGGTAGCCCCCTTCTCCCCCATCCCCTTACTTTCCTCTCTCCTTTTTCCCAAATTCTTAGTCTCTCTCACTTTCTTCCCCCTCTCATCACCCCCCCCCCCTCCCCCTTTCCCTGTTCTCTTTTCTCACCTTCACTTCCAGGTCTCTCTCTCTCTCTCGCTCTTTCTCTCTCTCCCTCTTTCTCTCCCCCCCCCCCCCCCTCTCTCCCTGCTTTAATCAAAGTTCCAAAGTTCTCACCTCACAATGGACTTTTTTATCATCTGCAGTGACTGACGGTGACCGCTTGACTTTCACCTGGTTCTTGGCGGCTGTCGTGCGCACACTAAGATCTTCTGCCTGCTCCTCTTCCACCATCTCCGTCTTCACTGACATCATCAACTCTCCCTCCTTCTTGATCCCGTCCGCTCTTGACTTATTCCTATACATGTACACACAGACAAAAACACATAAATAAACCTGAGTAAGTTTAAGTCATATTATGTGAGTGGTGTAAATACTCTATACTATACAGCGACAAAGCACATCTGATTAAAACCAGTAAATTCTTTGCCATATCGACAGACCGAAGGGCTAGAACCCAAAACGCCGCTGGATCGGAAAAATAAAGTATGTGAGTGGTGTAATAACAGAGCACCATAGCCTAATGATAACATTGAAGATTATAGTAGCAGTAATAATAAAAATAAAAATGCTGATAACGATAATAAAAATGAGAAAAATCATAACTGATATAAATGATGGTAAAAGTCTCATTGATTGATGTTCCTTCTTCTAACAACAAGTGTCTTTCCTGTATGGTGTTTTGGCTACCCCATTTAGGTCCCCACAAAATTGGGACCCTGGATATGCATAGACGTGTAAAGTAAGTTCTGAACGGAGACCTCAACAAGATCTTTACAATAGTAATAATGATAATATTAATAATAACAACAACAACAAAAACAACAATATCATCATCATCAATCCCCCCCCCCCCCCAAGTGAATCTTGAAAACTCCCCCCCCCACCTCCATTCCAAAGGGGAAAGTCAAAATAAAAAAACAACAGAGAAACTGTCATAGGGGGAAAAAGAACTTACTTCAACAGAGCGACGGCCCCATCAGACGCCGCAGCAGCGTGACCTTTGTGCGAGATGTCGGAGGTTAATAAGTTAACCAAATTGGGCGTGGACAGCCGGTCGCTCAGTCGGCCACCGTTGCTGCTGCTACTGCTGTGCAGGGTGTCAGCACTGCTGATCTGACTGGTGTTGCTACTGCTGCTGCTGTCTTTTGCCTTGCGGGACGACTCCAGAGTTTCCCTCAGTAGAGATTTTGTTGCCTCCGATATGGCAGGGGTTGGGGATTGTTGCTACAAGTTTTAGAGGGTTTGTTGGGTGTGGTTTTTTGTTGTTGTTTTTATTTGGGGGGGAGGGTGTTGATTTTTTAAAGTTGTTGTTTCGTTTGGGGGGTGGGGGGGTGGGGGACGGTGTTCAGTTTAATTTTGTACGAGTGTATAATGCGAGAAGTAGAACATGTGTGTATGTGAGAATGTTGGAACGGGAGGGGAGGGGGGAGAAGAAAGAAGAAAGAAAAACCCAGGTGAATCAAAGTGATGATACTTTTTTCTCTCTTACCAGTACATGGTATACAGTGAACAGAAACATACAGGTAGTTCCTGACCCACAATTTTTAAAACAAAACTTAATTGAAATAAATGACCAGAATAATGTTTTTTTCACAGGCATATTTACCACTATTTGATTCACCCCAATAACTGTTCTATCCCTGTTAAAAAATGTTCCCTAAAATATATAAGAGAATAAAACAATGTCCCATAGATCTGTCAGAAAGTTAAACAAATCTCAAAGAATGCTTTGTATATCATAAGCAGCGTTGAATACATCTCAATGAATGTCTTATATCACAAACAATGTTCCAATCTTAAAACAGAATATTCCACACCTCTAAACCCAGGTTCTATTTATCTCACGAAAGAAATAGACCTTAATGAAAGTACCTGTTATCTGAAAAATTTGACAGTTCTGAAATGAAAAGACAGTCCCATTGGAGCCTCTACTAAAGAGAAACAAACACAAAAAAGGAGGAGGAAGAGACAAGGACAATCGATCGATCACGTTTGACAGGAAAGAAAGGGCAGCAAACCACATCAGAGCACCGCCAGCCAGCCAACCAGCCACCCTACATAACGTACAACAAAGTGTGACTCACAGCAAGCAGGGCTGAGTGCAGAGGTACTTGAGTGGGCAGTGAGCTGACCGCCGCTGGGGGCAGCATCTTGCCCAGGTCTTTGTGGTGCGTGTTCTGGTGGTGCTGGTGGAGGCTGCGCTTGGCCTTGTACGACTTGCCGCACAGCTGGTGATGAGCCAACAAACACACGCGTGTTAACTTTTTGGTTTTAGTTCTAGATCTAGTAAGAGTGTCACGGCCGGCACTTGCAACACAATTAGGTCACATGAGTGCCGAAGATTAGTGGAAATGGCGAAATAGTACAAGTTTGACACCTGTATCAACACTCCAAAGATTACTGGTGTTGCTATTATTATATAGTAACATACAAAGAAAGGAAAAAAGACAGACAAGGACGATAGATGCTGTTGCTGAGTTGAGTAAAGAGAAGCACATTGACACAATAATGGTCATTTAGAGATGGGTAAAAAGGAAGACAAAAGACTGGCAGAAACAACAAAAGGAAAGTAAAGAAATAGGACCTACCAGTGATGCCCTCCGACCACCTACTTGACAGATGCTTGATAAGAAGGAAAAACCCATACCTGAGCACACCCCCAACCAAACACTGCCATCGGTCACTTCAGGTTAAAGACCCAACCATGACACCTGTCACTTCTAGTCAATAACACAACAATGAAATCTATCACTTCATGTCAATAGCACAACACTGACATCAAAAGGTCAATAAAACAATAATGACATCAAAAGTTCAATAACACAACAATGGCATCCGTCACTTCAGGTCAATAACACAACATAACACAACAATGACATCTGCCACTAAAGTTCACATAACACAACAATGATATCAAAAGGTCAATAGCACAACAATGACATCAGCCATTTAAGGTGAATAACACAACAATGACACTAGTCACCTCATGCCAAAGATACGAAAAAAGAAAGCAATTTTTTAAAAAAATGTTAGTACTTTTACTCCCCCATCAACATAATTTAGATCACTTTGGAAGCAGGATTCAGATCCTTCCTGCCAGGGCCAGCCCGGGATGAGGGGGATACACACAACAACGACAACTGTCCCTTCAATTTAAAGACAGAACAACGACATCAGCCAGTTCAGAACAAACACATACTGGTTTGTTCAGAATAAAAGACATTGGCTAGTAAAGCTTGTAGTGGTTACGCTACCAGACTTGTAATCGTGGGGTCGGGGGGTTCGAGGGTCGGGGGGTTCGAGGGTCGGGGGGTTCGAGCTGCGGGCTCGACGTGGTGTCCTTGGGAAAGGCACTTTATACGAATTTTCCTCACTTCACCCAGGTGGGAATGGGTACCCGGCCATAGACAGGGAAAGATCTTGTCAGTATGTTAGTGTTTTATCGCCTATAAATGTCCGCTTGCACTGTATGCTTCCCAGGAAGTTGAGGTTGTTTCAGAATGCTCTCAGGTCTGATTGTGAAGCGCATAAAGCCTGCTGTTGAGCGGGGATTTGCGCTATACAAATGCTATCTATTATTATTAATTTAGCTGGAAAGAGTTCAGTGATATGACCTGTGTTCCCCACACGACTGACAGGCACAAATTGTCCAATGAATGCCACGCCGCTTCTGCCACTGACAATACTTGTTTCTGTAGTGAGTGAAATTGTTCTTTAAGACGGGTCTGAACGATCACAGCAACACACTTTGTGAAGAAAGGACGAGTATTTTAATACTATTCAAAAGAAGCGTAAGGAGCAGACCACAACATCAGTCTCTTTGAATCTGAGAAAAGAGATACTCCTCGTCACCATCGCGGTCACTCAGTAAGGCGTGGAAAAGTTAGACACAACAGCCAGAAACAAGAGAGAAAGAAGAGGAGCTATCCAGTGGAGTTCTGTCACCAACCATCAAAACTATAATAATCATGGGAACATCAGGGGTATAATACAGCCAGTACCACCAACAAAAAGGAGATACCCTGAACGTGGGTGGTTGGCGAGCGATTTCTTGTGGTTTTGCTCCTTCTTCCAAATCCAACATCTCTCTGTCTGTCTGTCTGTCTGTCCATCTCTCTCTCTCTCTCTCTCTCTCTCTCTCTCTCTCTCTCTCTCTCTTTCTCTCTCTCTCTTTTCTGCTCTCTCTCTCTCTCTCTCTCTTTCTGCTCTGCTCTCTCCTTTCCTTGGTATTTACTCTCAAGAAACACTTGTAATCTTCTGGACTTTATTACCTATATTATTTGGGTTACACGCGTCGTAAAACTCTTACTGACCAAACACCCTGAACCATTGACACGAACACGAAGCAGCACATAGTATACAAAAAATATATTTCAAGAACACCCGAGTCATTAAATGAACTTTGTTTCAGCTTTTTCTTGTTGTTTGAATTCGCACTCTCGGAATAGTCAAGAGACTCTCCAAGTTCCAGAAGTTTCGGAAAGCGAGTTACATCTCACCCCCAAAGACTTCCAATGTCCTCCGTATATTCTGTGAAACTATATTATTACATACAGGTGTAATCACGTGGCATTCAGGTGTAGTCACGTAACGTTCATATGTAACGTCGGGATGCCCACATCATGGGGAATTCATAATTATGTAACCACGTGGTGTTCATATGTAACCACGCGACATTCATATTATGTGACCATAGGATTTTATATGTAACCACGTGATAATCAGGAGGAACCACGTGATATTCAGATGTAACCGAGTAACATCATCAGAATTGACGGAAACATCCACACATGGGGAAAAGCAGATGTTTATTGAATTCCCCAAAGCCTGGACAAAGTCTGGGCAAGGCGTAGCCTTACCAACATCACCCACATCAGCAGTGAGTTAAGTGGAGAATTATTTTTTGTTTTACGCCACAACAGAGACACGTTTGGTCGTATACGTTTTACAGACTTAGTTTCTGAGCACCGGCCTTTCGTAACACAATTTTTTTTTTCAAACACAGACTTGTACAGGAACACTTCGTACAACACCAAAGATCGCCGCACTTCCGGGGAAAGTGGCAGCGAAGTGGCACTGCACCCACGCATGAGGATCATCATCGGTATCCCCCCCCCTAATTTTTTTTTTTTAAATCCCTCCCCTTCCTCTCCCCCAGCACCCATCTCCCGCCTCCTCACTTCCTTCCTTCCGCTC